CAACTGGAAAAGATAATGACTTTTGCCTGTAGATTTTTTTGCTTTAAAATTTAAAAAATTATCTTAATAATTGATGAAGGAGCTCTGGTGGCGTAATGCTTAAGTGCTCAGCTGCCAGGGTGAATGGTTCAACCTCTGGTGATTTTATCCCATAAAGAGTACAGCCTAGAAAGCCCTGTGGAGAAGTTTTGCACTGCCATACAGGGCCTCTACAAGTAAGGATTCGTCCACACACATCAAACAAAGCAAGGATGGTGAAACTTTGTCTCATACACTGTGGACATATTGTCAGTCCTTGAAAAAGACATCATGCTGGGAAAGGTGATAGGCCAGAGAAAGAGAGGAAGGCCTTTAGCAACATGAGAATCTTGGTGACTGTAATGGTGGCTTGAGCATGTCAGAAACTCTGAGGATGGTGCAGAATAGGCCAAGGTTCCGATTCAGTGTTCATACGGTCTCTACGAGTAATAGTCACCTTGATGGCGTATGATAATAACAAGTTGCATCCCATCCAAAACTAGTATTCTGAGGTGACTGATATTAACAGTTTACTGCATATCCTGCTATGGCAAATATAAGCCAACATATGCAAACAGACATCTTCTATTTCAATAACATTGGGGTCTACTCTGGCGGCCTAGTGGTAAAAATCTGCACTGCAAACCTGAAGGTACATAGTTCAAATATGACAGCTACTCTGCAGGAGAGAATGGCCATTCTCCTCTTGTGTATTTGTTGTTTTGTTGTCAAGTGCCATCGAGTTGTAGATGACTCATAGTGACCCTATGAACGACAAACTTGAACACTTGTATAACTTTCATCGTTTCTCCAAGTTCATAGGGTTTGCAGAGGCAAGCTGTTTTGGAAGTGAATGCCACTCCTGCTTCCAAGCTTGTTTTAATTGGGGAGCTCCTCCCAACACTGTCCACCATGGGTAACCATTATCGCATTGGACACATCAGTATCACAGTGTTCAGTATCACTGCAACCATGAGTTACCTCTGTACAGCAAATGAACAGACCAGTCCTGTACCTATGTGATTACTGCCTCTAAAAACCTGCATAGCATTAGCTGTGGGTCAGTTCTGACTGGACGATACACATTACATACATACATACATATTACCAGGGAGTTCTGGTGGCATCAGAGAGTTGGACAGTGACTAGGGTAGATAGAGAATTGATGCCTTTGAGCTGTGGTACTGGAGAAGAGTGTTGAATATACCATGGATTGTTAGGAGAACAAACATGTTTGTCCTGGAGAGGGTGAAGCCAGAATGTTCCCTGGAGTCAAGGATTCTGAGGCTTCGTCTGACATATTTTGGGCATGTTGCAAGGAGGGACTGGTCCTTGGAGAGGGACATCATGTTTGGCAGAGTGGAGGGGCAGTGAAGGAGAGGAAGGCCTTTGATGAGATGGATCGATTCTGTGACTAGAAAGGTGGGAATAAGTGCATTTGAGATGGCTAGGTTGGCACAGGATAGAAGAGCGTATAGAGCTCTTGTACATAGGGTCACTATGAGTCGCAAACGACTCGATGGCACATAACAACAACAAGTGGGTAAGGAGCTGCACTGCCAAGCCAAAGGCAGATGGTTTGGCTCCACCAGCTGCTCTGTGGAAGACAGGTGAGCAGTCTCCTCCTGTGTGATATATGGTCCCTAAAAACCTGCTGGAGGGTCAGCTGTCAGTTGGTTTCAACTCAACAGAGCATAACAGCAATAATAACATACATGTTGGGAATCTCTGGTGGCGCAGTGTGTAGGAATTAGTACACTAAGCCCAAAGGTCATGTACTTCTCTGGTAGTTAGAAATTAACAGCAGCTGTAGAGATGGAAGATAATCAGTCTCCTCCTGTGGCATTTCCAGCCTCAGAAGCCCAGCTGAGGGCCCACTATGAATTGATTCCAACTCAACAGCAATGAGACTATACATATTATTCACTCTTTTTAAAAGCTACACAGTATTCCAGAGCATGATTATTCCATAATTTATTCATTTATTCCCCCTCAGTAGTTTTCCATTTGTTGGTTTGAATTACACACACACACACACACACACACACACACACACACTCTATTTGTTGTTGTTATCTGCCATTGAGTTGCTTGCAACTCATAATGACCCTATGTACAACAGCTCTGAACCCTACTCTATCTGAGCCAAACTTATTGTCTCTGACACACCTACCTCCATTACCCCAGTCACTGTATCAGTCCATCTCATCAAGAGTCATCTTCTCTTGCACTGTCCCTCCACCCTGCCAAGCATAATATCTCTCTACAAAGACTGGTCCCTCCTTGCAGCTTCCCAAAAGTATGTCAGATGGAGATTAAAAATCCTTGTCTCCAAGGAGGAGCTTGGTTTCACCCTCTGTAGGATGAATTTCTTTATATATTAGGTTATAGGACACACACTAATATGTTTGTATATTTGTACACACACACACATACATACATTTATGGAGTTCTAGTTTGAAAGTTTGGAAGCAGGAATGACATCCACTTCCTAATAACATGCCTCTGGAAAATCTGTGAACTTTAAGAAATGACAATAGTTATAGAAAAGCTTCAGGTGCTCTGTTCACAGGGTCACCTATGAGTTGCGCTCGACTTGATGACAATCAACAACAACAACAGTGGCTTAGTGATAAAGAATGATTCTGCCAACCAAAGGAATGAAGGTAGAGTTCACCAGTTGCTGTGTGTGGGAAGATGGACAATCTCCTCCTGTGTAATTTACTGCCTCTAAAAAGCCACTGGAGGGTCAGCTATGAGTCAGTTATGACCTGGCAGCATATAACAACAAGAACACACACACATACACATACACACACAATACATAATATGTACATGTTGTTGTGGTGTGCTCTTGAGTCAGAAGCAACTCATAGCTGACCCTCCAGCAGGTTTTCAGAAGTAGTAAATCGTATGTATGTACAGCAGCTGGTGAATTAGAACCTCAGGCCTTTGGGATAGCAGCTCAGCTTCTTAAGTTGAAAGAATGTCCAGATTTAGATGATTCACAATGATCACATGGTATAACAGGTTAAGCTCTAAACTGAGAATGAAACTAACCAACGGGTTTCTCAAACTGGCCCCTGCAATAACTGGCAGTGCATTCTGAGAGAAATTACTCCGTATCTCAGAATATCGGTTTTTCCATCTGTGAAAAGAGATCATTTCTCAGACCAGGGTTAAAATTGTGTGATTGCTCTAAAAGATCATTTCCTGAAGGCCTGAACTCTCCTGGTCTGATCTGCCTTTAGTAATCTCCATAGTGCCTTCTACATCACCTTGTCTGAAGATGCCAAAATACGTGCTGGGTGAATGGGTGAATGGTTTGCAGTGTATGACAGTGATTAGAAACTGAGTTTGCAACTTATCAAGGGGACTTTCTGTTTTCTATTTTAACAGGAACAACATATAGTGTGATAGCTTAAATGTAGTCAGAAGTTAGAGATAAAGGAAACAAGAAGACAGAGCGTGTCCCTAGACACTTTTCTGTGGTCCAAAAGTACTTCCTGGACAGAATCAAGCCTCTAGATAGTTTTTTTCAGGAAATTAATTCTTTGCTTAGATGTTATATTTTACTCATGCTTTCCAATCTCCCTCTTTTCATTAATCTTGAAGTGAATAAATCAGTAAAATGTTAAACAAAGTAATAGTAATACTTTTTCAAGAGAATATAATCAGTTTTGTCAGTTGGAAGAACTGTGCATTGAAATCCTGATTCTGTCTAGAAGTTTATAACATTCTCCTATACTTGTGCTTACATTCATATAAATATGTGTGCGTTGTACAATAATGTAATATATAAATATATAAAAATATTTATATATAAATAATACGTGTATATGTCTGTCAAGGAAGTATTTTAAACAAGTAGATGTCTTTTTCCTAAAAGTTGTTGTTGTTGTTATGTGCCGTCGAGTCGCTTGTGGCTCATAGTGACCCTATGTTATGCATCAGAGAGTTGTCTTCCTAAAAGTAGAGAAGAAATTTTGTTATACCCACTTCTAGTTTAAGACCACGGCAGAAGAAGTTTAGACAAAAATCTGAGAGCCCATTTTCCTCAGAAGGACTCATTCACGCACCTCTATTGAATTGATTCAAACTCCTAACGACTCTCCGACGAAGGCTATAAACCTTTACAAGATGGGACATCCCATTTTTCTCTCTCGGAGTAGTTGGTGTATTTGAACTGGTGACCTTGCAGTTGGCATCCCAGTAAGTTACACACTAGACTATCAGGGCTCCTTTCAGAGAGACTTGGTTTCTTTATATTTCTCTCACTCTACTCATAAGGTGAATGGAAGATATGATTCATCTTGTAATGTATAGTGAAGATCACCTGAGAGACTATACCTCTAAATGACAAAAGAAAAGATGCAATATTTTGGCACTAGATTTGGAAGTTTGAGGACTTTTGCTTTCTGGTTTTACTGTGGTCAGGAAATGGTAATGCAACAACAGTCCCAAGAGGCCTTTGGCAACCAAGTATCTGTATCTTTAATGGGATTGAGCCTCTACTGGACCCAATCAAAGTTCCTGGCATTGGATTAGAAGAGAAATATTGAATATAAAAAAGAAATGAAAATCTTTCTTATGACTCTATAAAATAATACAGCATGAATTATAATCAATAAAGGAAAAAACACATTTGTTACATCAAATGGATAAAATTTATTAAAAATGAGTATGACATTCCCATTTCATAAGGAATACAATCTGCAGGGCATTGGAGCAGGAGAAGTGAAGGTATCTGAGAAGGATAGATGTTCCCTGTGCCTTTGGCAGCACCGAACCTCAGAAAGTGGGGAAACAAATTGTTGACACTAATCCCAACTGAATTTTTTTTCTCGTTTCTTGAATCAAATACTGGGAGGTCCCTCAAAAGGCAAATAAAAGTTCAAGAACTTGCTCATGGTCCAGGGCAGCTGAAGGTTATAGTTCAGAGATAAAATGTCCTGGCACGTTGGTAATCAGCAACCTTGCCTTTAGGACGTGGGCTCAGAGCAGGTGGGCTTGCAGCAAGTGGGCTCGGAGCAGGTGGGTTGGCAGCAGGAGGGCTCGGAGCAGGTTGGTTGGCAGCAGGAGGGCTCGGAGCAGGTGGGTTGGCAGCAGGAGGGCTCAGAGCAGGTGGGCTGGCCGCAGGAGGGCTCAGAGCAGGTGGGCTGGCAGCAATGGCAGCAGCAGGCAGGGCGGCAGCAGGACTGTCCACAGTAGGATGGGCGGCAGCAGGAGGCCTGGGCATGGTGCAGCTGGCAGCAGGTTGGGGGGGTGCAGCTCACCACGCAACAGGGGGGCAGGCAGGTACCCTCCACTCTGCAGTCTGGGCGGCACCACCTGACACGGCAGGTCACACCTCCAGAACCACCCTCTTGGCCACAGCCGATGCCACTGCCAGTGCCACAACAGCTAGTTTGGCAGCAGGTGGGCTGGCAGGAGCTGGTCTCACAGCAGCTTGGCTGGCAGCAGCTGGAGCCACAGGTAGCCCCAGTGGAGCAGCTGGGGAACCCACAGAAGCTGGTGTGGCAGCAGGGGGCCTGGCAGCAGCTGGTTTGGCAGCGGGTAGGCTGGCAGCAACTGGTCTCACAGCAGCTTGGCTGGCAGCAGCTGGAACCACAGTTCCCGCTGGTAGAGCAGCTGGGGAACCCACAGAAACTGGTGTGACAGCAGGCCATGGTGTCAGGAGTTGGGTTGAGAGTTGGATTGCTTGAAGAGGTTTTGAGTTCTGACTGTGACCTCCACCTGGGGCCTTTTATAAGCCTTAGACAGCTACTATTTACATAATTCCCAAAGTCTCTTCCTTGTTTACATTTAAATAATTTGCTTCTGAATGATGATTGATCTGCCTCTGAGTTATTTATTTTATCTCCTGAAAGCCTTTAAAAGTTGATTTTATTTGCTCTTCAATTATGATTCTTCCTCATGTCAAGTAGCCATTTAGATTCATTTGTATATAATGTCTCACAGCCACTATTTGTTAAACTCTGCTTGTTGTCTAAATAATAATTTACTGATACCTCTTTTGAGTGTCAATTTACTTAATGTTGACCCTTGTGATTGGACTTCAGAGTCTCACACCATCTCTCAGTTCTGGGCGACATGGCCCTGACATTGACGGCTGCCCCTTCTTTACCATTGTAATCTTCATTTTGGTACCGAAGACTAGATCCAACTGACCAGAAAGGGATGATTGATTGATTGATTTTTTTACTGTGCTTTGTTTTGTTTTTTTGAGGAGTTTGGTTTTCCAGGAAACTAGAAGGCTACAAAACTGGGTGAGTTGTTATTGGCAATTACTTTTGAACATTTAACATGCCTTTAAGGGGTTCTGAATACTTTGCATATATCACTGCATTTGATTTTCACAGTAATTCCCAGAAGCAGATGCTAATGGTATTCACATTATCTGGGTGAGGAAGCTGAGCTACATGGATTTAAGTAACTTGTCAAACTTACAATAAATAACAAGGGGTGAATCTGACTCCAGAGTAAACTATTTAAACTATTATTGTCAATTCCTTTTTTTGCATGTAAGCTGCTGTTAGAGGGAAAATCAGAGGGGGGAAAAAGTCAGATGTGAAAATCATCCCACTTTTTTACTTTTTTACATCCCCCCTTTTTATTATTGAGGATAGATGGGTAACACACTATTTGCCTTTTATACATTCTTCCCCTCCACAGCTCAGTGGCATGTCCATCATCTTGTTCAACTCTCATCCTTAAACTTCTGAATTTTTCTGTCACTTTTAGGAGCTTGCTGTTTCCTAAGCCTGAGGTTACCTTTTTCCCCCCTCTCCTGCGTACCTCTGATAACCTCTAATCTTAAAGACATTTTATCACAGTGAAAGAAGAATGCCAGGGATTCAAGCAAATATAAGGTTTATCTGGTATTTTCAAACTCCATATTAAATTTGAATTTAAAGATACAGTGAATTGTGAATTTATTGTTCCTTGCCTAGTGGAAAGTCTGTAACACAGATTCTTCGATCAGCTATTTTTTCACTGCTGGATGCTTGAAGTCAGTGGATGTTTCATTATTACTGTGTCAGGAGCTATTAGATCTCCATCTAAATTTAGCAGAATATTAGATATGATTATTAGAAAATCATTATAAAATGATGTATTATTTCACCTTGCAAAAGGCATAGATGCTTGAAGAGTTGAAGATACATGCAGGCATGTCTGGGAGACATTGCAGTTTGGTTTCAGACCACTGTACTAAACAATGAAATGAAATGGGTTGCATCAAGTTTTGGTTTCCCAGTATGTAGGAAGGGGAGCTGTGGGAATCTAGTGGTGAGGAGCTGAGCTGCTGTACCAAAGACACACATCCCGAATCCACCAACTGCTCCACAGGATGAGGGTGGCCAGTCTCCTCCTGCAAAATTTACTGTCACTGAAAAGCCTCTGGAGGGTCAGTTATGAGTCGGTTCTGTCTCGATGGCTCCCAAAAACAATTGTTGTTGTTATGTGCCATCAAGTTGCTTGCAATTCATAGTGACCCTATGTACAACAGCCCTAAACTCTACTCTATCCTGTGCCAATCACACTGTCTCTGACACTCCCATCCCAATTACCCCAGTCACTGAATCAATCCACCTCATAGAGGGTCTTCCCCTCCTGCGCTGTGCCTCCACCCTACCAAGCATGATGTCCCTCTCCAAGGACCTGTCGCTCCTTACAACATGTCCAAAGTATGTCAGACGAAGCCCCAGAATCCTTGCCTCCAAAGAGTAGCCTGGTTTAACCCTCTCCAGGATGAATCTGTTTGTTTTCTTGGCAATCCAGGGTCATTCAATACTCTTCTCCAGCACCACAGCTCAAAGGCATCGATTCTCCTGTCTTCCATAGTCATTGTCCAACTCTCTGATGCATAACAAGTGATTGCAAAGACCATGGCCTGTATTAGGTGCACCTTAGTCTCCAGAGGGACACCATTGCTCTTGAGTACTTTAGAGAGGTCCCTAACAGCAGACTTTCCCATGGCAATACGTCTTTTGATTTCCTGGCTGCTGGTGCCAAGAGTGTTGACCGTGGAGCCAAGCAAACTGAAGCTGTGGACAATCTCAATCTCTTCACCATCCATCCTGATACTGCCAGTTGGCCCAGTGAGAATCTTTGTCTTCTTGACATTGAGCCTTAATCCATATTGGAGGCTGCAGTCCTTGACCCTCTGCAGCAAGCTCTTCAGGTCCTCCTCAGTTTCAGCAAGCAAGTTTCAACAATAGCAGTGCATGAAAAAGTTATGCTTGCACTCTATTACTATAGTCTATTAACGGAACCATAACATTGTGAAGAAGTTTGGAGTGTTTTATGAATTACCAAAATATGACATAGAGATATGAAGTGAGTGTGTGCTGTTGGGGAAATAGCACTGATAGGCTTGTTTTACACATGGTTGTCACAACTTTAAATTTATAAGAAATGCATTATCTGTGAACATGCAGTAGAATGAGACACAATGAAATGAGACGTGCCTGTAGGGACAGGAGCGCTGGAGATAGCAGAATCACACTGGATCGCTCTTGCTACTGTTTTCAACACCTTCCTTACGACACAACTTAATTAAATTTTAACATCTCTGATACCTTCCTTATGTGAACTTTAGTTGCCTTTAGAAAATTATGACTAATGTATGATGCCTGAAATTTGAGTATGCCATTACTCAGTGACGGAATAAAGCCAAATCTGAACAAATTAGGCAAGAAGAGAAATATTGTCTCCCAAATTAAGAAAATATATACAGAATCCTGCTTTCTACTACTTATGCCATTTCCTCTTGGCTGGTCCCTAAGAAAAAAAGTTTCCAGGTATTCATGATGTTTCTCTGCATATAACTCCCCCCCTTCAAATGCTAGATATCTCTATCCTTAATCTTTCTTCTTGATGTGTATGTTGGGGGTGGCAGGAGTGAAGGATGTGTTACCAGTCTCTTTAGATTTGAAAAAGTTTTTTATTACAATGCTTGTTCTCCTTGGTTTCTCATGTTGTTGTTGTTATGGGCCGTCGAGTCACTTGCAACTCATAGTGACCCTATATACAGGAGCCCTAAAACCTGCTCTATCCTGTGCCCATTATTTGCATGACAACAGTCCAGAAGTGGACTAGGGAGAGGGGAGGAATTGTGCAACAATGAAAGAATTTTTTTCATAGAGAAAAGCAAAGTTGGAGGGGTAGGGAAGAAAATGTGCAACAATGAATGAGTGAAAATCCAAGTTCTCTATAAACTTTCATTAAAACCTCAAAATAAAAACATTGAAAATGAAAAAACTCTGAATATGTCAGAGGTAACAGGGTTAAAGAACTAGTAAAGCAGATGTCAAGGAATTGAGTGAATTCTAAAATTAGTTACTATAAAATGCTGTTGTTGTTTTTATGTATGGTAGAGTCAGAACTGACCCATAGCTGACCTTCTGATGGGTTTTCAGAGGCAGTTAATCGAACAGGAGGGGAGTGCCCATTCTTCTCAGCTGGTGGTATCAAACTACATGTCTTTGGGACTGCAGCACAGCTTCTTGCCACTAGGCCACCAGAAAATAAAAATTTTTTTTATCTTAAAGGGAAATAACTCAAAGCATTAGTATCTATAAACAGAAGCTGGATATTCAAGAGTGATGAGCATGTATGCCCTTTCTTCCTGTGGTATTGGAGTGGTCTGGACACCATAAGTTATATACGAGAAACCACAAAAGATCATTACAAAGGCTGAAGAGGAAGAAAAGACCAAGATGGATGTCAGATGAGTCTCTGAATATTGCATTAGAGCACTGAGAAGCCAAAGCTAAAGGAAGAAATCAAGGGATTAAAGAGCTGAACAGAAAATTTCAAAGGGCAGCTCAAGATGACAAAAGCAAGATATTAAAATGAAATGTGCAAAGAGCTGGAATCAGAAAATCAAAAGGGCCAAACTCACTCAACATTTCTTAAGCTGAAGGAATTGAAAAACAAATTCAAGAGTGGCAAAACTTAAGGATGCTTTGGGTAGATGTTAAATGATCCAAGAAGCATAAAAAGAAGATGGAAGGAGTATACAGAATCACTGTACCAGAAGGAATTGGCTGACAAATGAATTTCATGAAACAACGCATGAGCAAGAGCCTGTGGTGATGAAGGAGGAAGTTCAAATTGCTCTGAAAGAACTGGTAAAAAAACAAGGCTCCAGGAGTTGACAGCATACCAACTGACATATTTCAACAAACAGACACTGCCTTGGATGTGCTCACTAAGTTGTGCCAAGAAATCTGGAGGACAGCCACCTAGCCAACTGACTGGAAGAGATAGATATTTGTTCCCGTTACAAAGAAGGGTGACCAGACAGAGTGCAAAAATTATCGAAGAATACATTAATATCACATGCAAGTAAGATTCTGCTGAAAATTATCCAAAGACATTTGGAACAACATGTCAACAGAGAACTGCCAGATGTGCAGGCTGGATTTAGAAGAGGTTGTGGTACTAAGGATATTATAGCTAATGTTAGATGGATCTTGGCAGAAAGCAAAGAATACCAGAAGAATGTCTATCTGTGCTTCATTGACTATGCAAAGGTTTTTGACTGCACTGATCACAACAAGCTGTGGCTGACTGAGAATGGGAATCCCAGAACATTTGATTGTGCTAATGCAAAACCTACTTGGACCAAGAGGCAATCGTCAGAACAGAACAAGGAGATGCT